TATGGTGCAAAAACATGTAAATGGGAACCTAAATCTTGTAATATACTAGATTAAAGATCCATTTTATAAGTTTATGGAACATTTATGTCCAAACCATTGTAATACGAGTCCTTATTGTTGTAAACCGCTGTGTTTACAAGAATAAGGACCAAGTTTACATCTCCAAGGTCCACCATTGCCTTAATGTTGTAAGGGATATCTTTTCTATTGTAAATTATGATATTACAAGTTTATGGATATACTTTATAAATTTATGGAACTTTGATGCCCAAGTAATTATAAATGGGTCTTTAATATTGTAAACCCTAGTGTTTACAAGAATAAATTTCACAATTACTTCTCGAAGGTCCACATTTACCTTAATGTTGTAAGGGGGATCATTTTCTTTGTAAATGGGTATTTCAATGTTGTGGATTAGGATTCACCTTAACATTGTAACGAAGGTGCAAAGTCTCGTAAATGCGAAACCAAATATTGTAATGTACAAATTTTAGAATATGATTTACAAGTTTATGGAATGCATATGTCCATGATAGTGTAATAGTAGTCCTTGATGATGTAAACTCTTGTGTTTACAAGTCTAAGGACCCAATTTTACTTCTTCAATGTCTACTCTTATCTTAGCATTGTACTATGGGTCATTTTCTTTGTAAAAATCAATTTTATAAAAATCTATATTCTTAGATTTTAAATTATTAAGAATAAGATGTTATATTATATGCAAATATAGACTATACCTTAAACTAAGAACAAGTTTATAAAAATCTATATTCTTAGATGTTAAAATATTTGGTTAAATAACATTTGTATATTTTTTTTTAATGTATTTTATGCACACAAAATTGTTAATGGACGAGATATATATTTTATAAATGGTAATCAAGATGTTATCATGATTACTTAAAATTGAAATTTAACATAACCACAAATAAATAAATATTTGACATGTAAAAATCTAATGTTTTACTATCTACTTTTTGAAACTTTAAATTATTCTATTATTTTTCCTGATTTTGGTCATACCTAATATTTTTATATTTTACTAAAATATTTGGTTTTTTATTTATAGAAATCATTACATGCTAGTTACCGGTGGAGTAATAGAGAAATAATAGAAGTGAGATTAGTGGAAGACAAACATGGAACAAATTTTTTAATGCCTATTATTATTATTTTAACAGAGAAATAAATAATATATATATATATATATAAACATGCTTTTTGTCTTTTTTATATAGCCCATGTTGGCTGTCAGCTTTTTTGGTTTGTTTTTTTCTCTTTCTTCCTTCACCGGTTGTACAGGTTGGTGGGATTCAATTTCAGTATTTATTAAGAGCTCTAATAATTTAATATTCCCACTGCCTTATTGGTTCACTATTTTACGCATGGACAGGAAAATGGACCACTGTATATGCGCCAAGAAATTAATTCAAAACCTACCACGTATAGATACAGCACCAATTTATTTACCAACTTTTTTATTTACCAACTTTTTAATATCAACGTGTATATCTTACTGCATTGTCATCATTGTATTTGGAAAATGTAGGCCCGATCCTTGTAAAATAGCGTACTAATTTAAGACCTTACTGTCTTGTCATGTCAATGTCAATGTTGTTGCAAGGAAGAAGATAATGGACTTTATGAAAGAAAACATGCCACCGCTGCCTTTTTGGTTCACTATTATCCGCACAGACAAGAAAATGGAGCACTATATGCGCCTAGAAACCTACCACTTATAAATACATTAATGACAGTGGCACCAACTTATTTTCCAACATCATTCATTTTAATTCAATTATTTTTGCTAAACCATTTTAATTCATTTAACTTAAATATGTTTATTTCTCGAACCCTTACCATCGCTCATCCTTCAAACCTCCATTGTTGTCCTATCAAAAACAAAAACAAAAACCCTCCATTGTTGTCATTGCATCCGTCTCCGTAGAGATGAGTTTTCGCTTTTCTTGCCATCCCACGCACTGACATCCTAAATCGATTTTGCGAAATATGGTATGGAGAACATGTCAGATGGGAGATTCACTCAGAGATTAGAGATCAGCCATGGACTTCGTTCATCTCAAAATGGTGTTTTAATCATGACTTCGCAACCAAGTGAAAAAAATTTGCAGATTTTGTGAGGATGATATGCCCCTGGTTTGGGTCTAAAGGCCTTCATGATCTTTGATCAAATCTACTCTGTAATGAAAAAAATTTAACACCCTCAAATCTAATCTTTTATGAAGAAAAAGAATATTAAAATCAGATGAAAGAGTGATGACTACAAGAGGAATGGGAGGGATGTGATATTGGGCGGCAATGGAGGGTGCCTCTGGGCTCTGGGGGTGGTGATTGGGTTCAAGGATGAGCCATGGTCGGTTTCAATGAAGAGATAGATATTAAAGTTAAATAAATTAAAATGGTTTAACCAAAATTTTTTTTAACTAAAATGAATGATGTGGCATGTGACATGGATTGCCATGTTTTTGCCACATCAGTTGGTACTAAAAAGTTGATAAATAAGTTGGTGCCCCTAGCATTATTGGTAGATATATATCTTATGTAGGAAAATTACATTATACTTCCAACACAAAAAAAAGAAGGACAATTACATTATACTAATTAGAGACTCCGTCTGGAGAAATTTTTATATGTTCCACATACACCATGTGGCTGGTGTACCATTCAATACACATATGACATGTGAAATTATTCTACTCCATTGATTTTTGTGACATGTGGCTAGCTGCATTAGAAATATTTCACATGTCATACGTCTATTGGATGATACACTAGCCACATGGTGTACCCGGGACACCCAAAAATTACTTGTCTGTCTAATGGCTGGATGTCGGTGCTCGTTGATACCTTTTTTTTAGTAATTTCAATAAAGACATGGAAAGATAAGCTAACTTAATTTGCCTCCACAAATCTGCAACTGACTAGTTAATTAAACAAAAAGAGTCTTAATTATTCTGTGTGTGGGATGGTTTTCTTCTCAGGGAAACTGTAGGAAGGGATATAGGTTTGCAGCAGATGATTCAAGCATGAAGATTTATGTAATATAAATTCAGACGCTGCATACAAATTGCATCACAAAACGAACAAAATATAAACTTGATAGAAAATTAATTGCATTTTCATTCTTATAGGTTAGCTACATTATTAGTTTAGCACCTGTGGATTTTGTTAACTCATTTATATTGTTCGAGGGTTGGAGACCCAATTTCAGATTTTTGATGGGGATGGGTATTGTAAAGAGGCTTGAAATTTTGTGGATTAATTTGTATTTTCCTTGCAGATGGAAATTTTGGGTTTTTACCCAATTTCAGGGAAACACCGTTGGTTTTTTTTTTTTTTTTTTATAGAAGTCAAACCCTAAGGTTGTTTTAAAATTAGAGCAAGAATGCTATTTTTAGGCTTGACACCTATCAGGTTGGCCATGTGTAGAGTTTGTCACAGATTCCAAGAGGGAATTCGGGACGGGTCCTTTCAACAACATCGTAAATCTACAAATGTGTAAAATAGTTAGATGGCAAGTCAGTGAGTTATTAAATTACGTAACTATATATTATGTAAGGGTCGGGCCTAGTTTCTTCAAAAACACTAGTTCTCACATGCTTTTTTAGCAGATGCTTTGCGCGTATATATTGTGATGACAAGGCAGCAAGGTACTTCGTATTATAAATACTCTATACAATGCCCATCTTTTTTCCAAACTTAGATAATCAGAATCATATATTTTTATGATGATGCTTCTGGGCAAAGTTCTTAGGAAGTCTTGTGGAGAGTTTTGGGGGAGGAAATGGAACATACAAGACGTATTCACAGTGGCTGTGTTTTTGGGTTTGCATTCCCTTTGTGCATTTGCTCCCTTTCATTTCAATTGGCCTGCATTTTGGGTGGCCATCACTTTGTATGTTGCAACAGGGTTAGGAATCACACTGTGTTATCATAGAAGTCTTGCCCACAGAAGTTTCAGGCTTCCAAAATGGCTCGAGTACTTCTTTGCCTATTGTGGCATTCTGTCACTTCAGGTGTGTGTATATATATATATTTGTGTGTGCATAAATTGTTTGGATTATTTTCTCTGAGTGATTTCATTTGTAGGCTGAGTTATAGTTTACTAACACAGGGAAATTGTGAATCCCCACCTGTATCTACCTAATCAAAAGATTATTCAAGGTTTGTTATTGTTTCAATTTGCAGGGTAGTCCGATTGAATGGGTGAGTACGCATCGTTACCACCATCAGTTTACTGACACGGGAAAAGACCCTCACAGCCCCATCAAGGGTTTATGGTATAGTCACATGGGTTGGATCCTTAATAGCCGTCATCGTTTTGAAATTCACCCCATCTAGAATGAGTGTATGAAGGGATCGGATTGAGGAGATGTGCTCTTGTATAGCCTTGATGTGTGTTCTATCTTGTGTAGTCATTATAGTTTACAACACACACACACATTAATAGTTACGCATGTATACATACATATATATATGTTTGCACACACCAACTGACACCTATATGTACTTGAAGCACGGCGGCCTGAAGAATGTTGAAGATTTAAGGAAGCAGCCCTTCTATAGGTTTCTTGGTCGTACTAACTTTCTACATCCAATTGCTCTTGGAGGTTTGCTATATGTTGTGGGTGGATTTCCCTTCTTGGTCTGGGCAGTGGTGAGATTGCTTACTCATAACTTACCTTAATTTTAACTCTACACATGTATATAATTAATCAGCATTAACTCACCAGAATTAGATGATCACAATTAGGTATAAAATTAACCATAACTATATATCATCCTAGGAATGTGAAACCTCCACCAACTAATTGGAGATAAATACCACGGTTAATTAACTTATCGTCTATCGAAACATGTCCTAAATTTAAATTTCATTCCATATAATTTCAGGGGGTGAGGATGGTACTTGTTTTCCACAGCACTTTGCTAGTAAATTCTATTGGGCACATGTGGGGAAAGAAAGCATGGAACACTGGTGATATGTCTCGGAACAATTGGTATCTATTTAATGCTGTCATATTATTTCATCATTGCTAAATGTAAAATTGGGATGTTAACTGGTTTGTCATATGTTCCATAATTTAGGTGGGTGGCATTGCTTGCGCTTGGAGAAGGTTGGCATAATTACCACCACGCTTTTGAATACTCGGCTCGACATGGGCTAGAATGGTGGCAAATTGATTTTACTTGGTACATAATAAGATTTCTTCAAGCGATTGGAGCGGCAACAAATGTGAAGGTCCCAACTGAAATTCAAAAGCAACAAAAAAGCTTCAAATAACAGAATCATGGCTACTCAAAATTATAGGCTTTGAAGATTTCCTCTACTATGGATATGATGGATAATTATGCCTTGAAATCCTATATGCATTTGTCATGTGGTCAATATTCAAGCATGGAGTGGATCTTAGTGTTTGTCTGGTTTCTTTGGCTTCTACAACAATCGCTTGCAGTCATAATATAGAATAATCATCATAGGAAGAGTAGTTTTGTAATGAAATGATGTTGTGTACTATGAATAAAATTTATATGATGTTGGGAGTTTTTTTTGTTTCCATTTTGATGGTAACTAGGGTTCTGATTCCATATCCCAATCCAAAATAGTAGAGAGAAAGATAGAAAAGACATTACAACCAAGAATGTCATCAGAATTTCACAGACCACAACTTATATTCGTTCTTATTTCAGTGGCCATTTGTTTTTTTTTGGTTTTTTTTTGGTTTTTTTCCTGTCTAGACGCAATTTACTATTAATTACTTTTCGTTCCATTGACTTCACACTTTGGATGTCGCGAGGAAGAAGATACTGATTTAGGAAAGAACTCATATAGATTTTTTTTTTTTTTTTTTTTTTTTTCCTTTCTAGACGCAATTTACTATTAATTACTTTTCGTTCCATTGACTTCACACTTTGGATGTCGCGAGGAAGAAGATACTGATTTAGGAAAGAACTCATATAGATGAATTATTAGTTTCAATAACGAAAGGCAGATGTGGGGATTTAGAATGTTTCACTTTTAGGGCTTCCTACCTTTATATATAGATTTTAAGGTTTAAGGCTTTGATCTCATGTCCCAATCAAGAAAAGTAGAAAGAAAAAAAGAGATTGAGCCAATTGAATTGTCAAATACAATTCTTATTAATTGACAAAACTGCAACCAAGAATATCAAAACTTCACAGACCTATCACTTGTACAGATTTTTGTATAATAATATTAATAGCTAGTGATTTAATATTGCAATTCACGTTCTCATGGCTTTGGGCAATTCAAGATTAGTCTGCATTTATACACTCTTTGTGTTATAAACTATAATGGACCCTTGTTCTCAAGGGTGAAACCATGAATTTTTCAACGGGTGTGCTAGCTTAAAATATAATGATTACTTTTTTTCTTACCGTTTCTATAGCTGTTCTATAAATAAAAGTGCAACATTAAATCACATAAACCACGTTAGTTCATAGTCTCATTGACTGGTTTTCAATAAAACATAAAACAAATATATACTAAACGCGACAAAAAAATTCATATTATCAAAATTAAAATATGTTTAGCAATAGAATTAAAAGTGTATCTATTCAAGTTGTGCCATGCAATCCGTGATAGAATTAAATTTTTGTGTTTTTGAATTTGAATCAATAAGCAAGTTTGATTGCTAATGTGTATTTTCATTGCTGCCCTACAACTCAATTAAAAAAATATTGGACATTTTTGAACTTTAATAAGTTAATACATACTGGGCTATATTTATAAGTTAATACATGCTGGGCTATATTTAAAATAACTCATTTATAGGCTTGATTATTTTTTCTTTTCCAAAAACTTCCTTAGGCTATAGCCCACCACAACCATTAGAGTGGTTCCGCGAGTGATTAAACATATTGTACAAGTAAGCACATATTTGTCACGTTTTATACATTTTACAATTTTTTAAAAATAAAATAGATAAAACTCACATATTATCATTAGAGTGGTTCCGCGAGTGATTAAACATATTGTACAAGTAAGCACATATTTGTCACGTTTTATACATTTTACAATTTTTAAAAAATAAAATAGATAAAACTCACATATTATACAAGTGTTTTTTTTAATACATATTATTATTGAATAGAAATAATATAAGTTAATTTTTTTAAATAATTAATATTAAACTATTTATAATGACCCAATTTTGTGCAGTATTTTATTCAATAATAATTTTACCAAATAATATACGTATGTATTTTATTCATACTCTTCATGTGCGAGCCTTAATTTACTCGTAGCACTAGTTTTGGGGGCTGGTTCATATGATCGGGGTTCACCTTCTTTCTTTTATGTTGTACATCAATTTCAGGCGGGTTGAGAATACGTACTATGAGAAAAGATATTTGTCTTTGATTTAAAAGGACCCACTAGTGTAGTGGTTTGGAGTATTTCCTCCCTCAGGCAAGGTCCTGAGTTCGAGTCCTAGCATCAGTGTAGTGTGTGTGAGTTTAGTATTCTATCGCCCCTCTCAATAGTAATAAAGTAAATACATGAACCGGTATTTTTATTCTTATTTAAATAATTCCTTTAATTTTTACGACCCCAAATTTTAAATTTCTTTTTAAAAATTTCCTATTCAGCTAAACAAGTATCTACATACCATCTTTCATTTTCCACACCCAAACATGTCCTAAATCCAAACTCCTTGTAATTTCAAGGGGTGAGGACAGTACTTCTTTTCCACGCCACTCTCATAATAAATTCAGTTGGCCATATGTGGGGAAAGAAACCATGGAACACCGGTGATATGTCTACAAACAATTGGTATATCGGATCTATTCCCCACTATGCTATATTTCATCGTTGCTAAATGTAAAATTGGGATATTAATTTGTTTTATGTACGTGATATATTTTTAATAATAATTTAGGTGGATGTCAATTATCACGCTTGGAGAAGGATGGCATAATAACCACCATGCATTTGAGTACTCAGCTAGACATGGGTTGGAATGGTGGCAAATTGATATTACTTTGGTACGTAATAAGATTTCTTCAAGCTATTGGATTGGCAACGGATGTCAAAGTCCCAACTGAAATTCAAAAGCAACGAAAAGCTTCAAATGGTAGAATCATGGCTACTCAAAAATAGGGTTTTGAAGATTTACTATGTATATCATGGATAACGTTACTAGCTTCAAATCCTCTATGCGCGTTAGTGATGTTGTCAATATTCATGCCTCAAGTGGTATTT